CTGACTTCAAAGGTCATTAACAAGAAAATATTAGAAGACAATTTTCTAATGGCAGGGGCAGCCTCTGCAATGTGTCTTCCATTACAGAAGGTGATTATTAGTAGGGGGAAGAAAAACAGTTTTTGTTAGTATTTGTATTAGGGCTTATTCATTAGGTCTTCCTTAAACTACCTAAAAGTAAAAAACACTAAATTGCTCAGATCCCCTTCATATCTAATTTGCCCTGCAGAAAACAGTCCTTCCCAACCTCTTGCTAGCATTACCAAGGAAATAAAAAAGTACAAACCACTAATTACAAAGGTTTAAGACAGGCAACACAGATCTATAATCTCTTTACCTTAGAAAGCAAACAAAACCAAGACAAATTGCAATGCTACAATTCAGGCAAAACCCAGCCTTATAAACTTTTTCATGAGAAAGAACACAATTGGTGAGGGGAGGAAGATTAAAGTATTTTCCAAAGGTTTTAGTGTCAGTACTAAATCCAGCACTTGAAATACTCTCCTTACAATTTCCTGGTATCACTGCACTGTGCAGCAGGAACATTGTCTCAGTGGTTTAGCTGGTAACTTTCAAACACTTTGTATTTAGGCTTCAAATGTAACCTTGGTACTGAATGTCTGGAATGTGATACTCACTTTAGTGTCCTGATCCATCAGTACACTCAATTGTACAGGCAACCAGCCCATGGTCTGCAGTAAAAGCAAGGTCTGTCCATGTGTGAGTTGATATTTCTGTCACTCTGAAGAGACTGAAATCCTTTGGAGGGGGGACAGAGAGAGGATTACTGTTTAGTTTTGAAAGCTGACTCACCAGTGCCACACCAAAGCCTGCCTGCACTGTTGAATTTGACCTTCATCTCAATGGCAACATTTGCACTCTTCAGAAAGACATGGGGTAGAAAGAGACTTGGCAGAGTCATCTCAGCAGCTGATCCATTCTCCCATCTCCAAGTCCATCGTGGTAGGGGTTCAACAGGAGCAAGGCTAAAGCAGCTGTGCTCCAGGAGCCTTCTGACAGCCAGCACTAAGGAGGACATGGTACCTGTAAAAATCAGTGACCTTGTGCCATTAAGTCTGTCAGGGAAAACTCTTGACGTGCCTCCACACTCACCCCATGCTGGTCATTCCAGCTGCTGGAACAGCTGTGTGGAATTAGCTGCATCAACAGAAAACAATGGGGTAAAATATCTGTTGTCAGTGGCCCAACTTGTGTTACCTGTGCTTGTCTGTAACCCAACAATTAGATCCATCGTTAGCAGCTTGGCTTAATTATAACTTAGAACTTCTCCAAGCATAGACTTTGCTCAAGATTTTAAATGACTATAATTAATTAGGCAGAAAGCCTGAAGTGTCTTCTCATCCATTGTTAGAATTATTTTTTCCTTTCCCCACATTGACACCAGAATGTGGTTTCATAAAGGAACTGGGCTGTCAACTAGAAGATTTAAAAAGAGGCATCTCTTTGTAGAAAACCACACAGAGAAACACCTTTTATATCCTATATAAAGAGAAAGAAGGCTTCAGAATTTTTTAATCTTGACTAAGAGATGCAAAAAGGAGTATCATTCTAACCTACACTTGTTTAGTCCCAGTCCTTATAGGAAAGATTTATTTCTTGCCTCCCATTTAAAAAGCTTTTTGCATCCTCCCCAGATTTCTGCTGTTATCAGAGATCTGGTATCAGGCAGCTGGGCCCCAGCCTGAACCAACTGCTTGGATCTTAACCAGTAAAAAGCAAGCCACACAATTAATGCCAGAAAAACGGCAACTTCTTAAAGGACACAGGGGAGGAAGGAAGCTGTAGTCATGCAAAGAAACGCTTCCCACTCAGCTTGTCCAGGGCTCACCCGAAAGAGAAAACATTGAAGGAAGGAGGGCACAGGCGGAGGGCTCTGCAGTGAACACTGAAGGAAGGAGGGCACACACGGAGGGCTCTGCAGTGCCAAGTTCCCGCACGCTCTGCCAGGCTCTGGGTTCGCTCCGGCCGAAGGAAGGCGGGAGCCCTCTAGGGGTGGCACACGGAGCCCTGGAGGGACCGGGCACCTGCTGAGCCCTCCGGCCTTCCCTGGGCACTGGAGCCCTGTCCTGGCACCTGCAAGGGCTCAGCAGCTGAAGGTCTATGCAGCAAATCAGGCTGGGCACAAGGAAGTGCCAGGTTTTTTCCTGGAAGTGCTTCTCTACAGCCCGGAACATGATGTGGGAAGTCTCTCTCTGTGGTTGGGTCAATCCTTTCAGGGAAAACAGAACATCAAAGTGCAAACAGCAGTTCTGGAGCTAGCCTGGCTCACCACAGCATAGCTGGAATTTTTTCTTCTAGGCTATGCAAAAAGGACTTGATTTTGCCTTACTGTGAACTCTTGGATAAAATGAGCAGGTTTATCTTTGTCAAGGCTTGTTCAAAATAGTCCTTTCCAAGAGCTACTTCTATTTGAAGGCTAGGTAACAGCTGCAGCATTTAAACATTTAAATATTTTCCCATTCTAATGAGGACTTAAGATCCTTTCCAAACAGCTCAACATAACAACATGAGAACCCAAACTTCAAAACATTTTGACTCCAGTAAAAAAAAAAACCCAAACCAAACAACACCCAAAACAAAACACAAGCATCAAAAAGCATCGAACAAGATATTAAGAATTTGCTGTAGTGCAACCAATAACAGATTTTGTTAGTGATCCAAACCGTAAGAGTGCAAGAACAGCTCAACACTGAAAAAAACCCACCAAGGTTGTTGTTTTTTTTTTAATAGAAGAGATATTGACCATAAAAGACCTGCACAGTTACTGCAGTTTTGCTCATGTATCAGTTTGGTGAAACAGGTAAATACCCATTACAGTCTCTACATGTAATTTACAAACAACTTTCTTCATGACATATTCAAGGTTATGCTTGATTTCTTAAAAAAAAAAAGAAATTAGAGGCAGTAAGATGAAAACCTGTAATCTGCATTAGTGCTACTTGAATAGCAAACTTGATCTAGATGCAGAAAATGTTTTATCTATCCCTCACCAAATGGCAGAGATGTGAAGTCTGCATTACTAGGAGAACCCATATTTCTTAAAGTTCTCCCAGTCTCTGAAGAAGCACTTCTGTTCACTCCATTTCCCAGGTGGAAAGGACAGGCATTTCCAGGCTGTTGGCAGAGCCCTGATTTTGGCTGTGATGGAGTTAATTTTCTTCCTAGTAGCTGGTACAGTGCTATAGTTTAGATTCAGTGTGAGAATAATGTTGATAACACACTGATGCTCTAAGTTGTTGCTAAGCAGTGCTTACTCTAAATTGAGGACATTTCAGTCATCAGGGTTCTGCCAGTGAGGAGGTGCACAAGAAGCTGGGAGGGAGCACAGCCACAGCAGCTGACCCAAACTGGCCAGAAGGCTGTTCCTCTGCATTCACTTCCACAGGCTTACTGATTGTTTCTTGCTCAAACCCTTCAGCTAGAGACACTGCAATGACTGGAATCCTGGAGCAGAAGGTTGGCTCTGAGCCCCATGTTGAACACATGGGTGGTGGGGATCTGTTGGATGAGAAAGAAAACAGTCACGAGTACAACAGCACAGCCAAGAATCAGCAATGCCTGGATTTCATCTCCTATGTTCAAAAGGAGACAGCAAAGCCAATGTTGGGTACCAGCAAGCAGAAACAACAGTGCTGTCCAGTCCTGTTCTCAACTGCAGCTGGAATGGGCTCTGACCCAGAGGAAGGCAGTGCCCCTTGGGAAGGGAGGCACCAGGGATTCCCACGAGACACTGGAGTTACTTTGTTCAGCTCTGTGTTGTTTTTGGCAAAGACCAGCTGGAGTTGCCTTTGGACTGTGGAGTTACCTGGCTGATGGATTCCCACAGCTGCTTTACAAAACCATGGAAGAACAGCAGCAGTCAGCTGCTGCTTCTGCTCCCTGGTGAGCCCAGTGAATCACAGGCTGGAAAACTGCTGCTAAACCTAGTCAAGCAAATCCCCAGCCTACACTTTTCTGGGAATTTACTGCTTTTTCAGAGATTATTACAAGTAAAGTTTCACCCTGGCAATTCTTTCTGTTAAAAAAATAAAATAAAAACAAACCAAAAAAAGACATTTAGAACCATAAAATGGAAGATATTTTCAAGAGACTTCAAGATCTGAAGTAGGTTCAAGCATGCCCATAACATCTTGACCAGAACACACCTGATGATTCATTATGGTTACACTTATTTTTGTACTTCAAGAAATACTTCATCTGCTTCCCTGTGATGCAGCATTCTGGGTTCTTGCAGACTTTTATTCTCTCTAGGATAAATACAAAAGCATTTAGACAAACTTCCTGAAAGACTGCATCTCCCAGATCCCCTTGTTAAAGCTTGCCTTTTGTCAAGTCTCCCATCTCTGTGCTGCTCTCTTTGTGTCTTCCTCTCATAAGAATATGAACACCTGCACTTCAGAAACAATCACACAGGTTAGCTTAGCTTCCAAGCCTCACTTGTATTTCAGGTTGCCATTCCTCTTAGAGCTTCTCTATCTTCTGTAGTAAATTAGCCCAAACATACTCTGAGAATTTGTTCTCCAGCCTCCCACTTCAGTGGTCAAAGACCACTTCTTTAACAAGTATAAAAGCAAATAAATTGTCACCATATCTGGTTGCAACAAGGTCTTTCAGAGCATTATCCTGTTACTGCAGGACACCACCAGTACAGCCCATTTAACCTGCATTGTCACTGTGGTCAGCTGGGAAAAAGAAGGAACAGATCAAATCAATGAATTAGTGGTACACAGTCCTGAAATGGTTTCAGTGACATTCATCTTTTCAAGTAAGCACACTGTGTAATCCCAGGGATTGCTTCCTTCTAGTGCTTCCACTGATCTCTCTTCCCAGAAAAGCCCTGTAGAGGAACGTAACATGGTGAGACAGGGTAACCACTCAAAGATGTGCAACATGAATGACCTACATGAAAAAAAGTTGCAATGTGAGGCACCTGAAATATTAGAACGAAATAGATCTTCAAGAAAAGAAACAAACAGTGCTTTGAGTCACTTTACTTTATTAATACTTCAGAACCATCAGATCCTACAGTGGCAAGTTCTTATCCCCACCTGTTTCCAATCACTGTTTTGAAACAACTTCTTGCAATATGCAAATAGATACATGAGGCACTGTGTGAATACAAAAGTGACAGTACAAAAAATTCCCAACAATTAAACCTCATGCAATACATACATATATAAAATATATGGTAATGTAGCATAATACAACAAGCACTATTAGAACAATCCATGTAAATGAATGTACAATATGCATAGCATTTAATGACCAATGACAACAGGTTTTCAACTTGTGCATAAAACCAGTCAGCTTAAATAAGAGTTTTAAGAGACTAGATAACTGGTTAAGCCACACCTTATAAAACCTGCTGTACTGCAGCTTTTCTGCTCAGGGTCACAAGTGCAGATTAGCATATAAAATAAATAAGGACTATGATTCTACAAAACTTGGCTAACAGCTCCTATTTCAAAGTCACTGGCCCTCTTACTTCCATTCAAGGTTCATCAGCCAACACAGTGGCAAGAAATGTGCCTAAAGCAACAGCTCTGCTCTTGTACTGTTTTAATACTGATAAGAAGAGATATTTGTAAGTCAGCAGGAGTAGTTGCAGAGGTCTCACTCACCACTCCTCAAGCGGGGACTGGGGTTACAGCGCGGGCAGACCCTGAAGAACGGCACTGAGAGGCTGCTGAGCCTGGGGCTGAGCTCTGCTCCCTCCCTGCCTGCTCCCAGCTGGGCTGGCACAGGGCAGGCAAGGCAGAAGGCTTCCCCCCACTCTCAACAGTGCAAATGTTTGAAAACACAAACAATCTGCAGGAATAAGGAAAGACAGAGACAGGAACGTTTCTGAACTCCTGTAATCAGGGTGAGAGCTACTGTCACCTGAAATAAGCTTAAGTATTCCTATGAAGTAAAATGCAAATAACAGGATTTTCTTCTTACATATCCAATACTGGTCCATGCCAAAGCAACAGTTATTGTAGTCTCTTATCTTCCTAGCTGACATGGTTCTTTTTACACTCTTGGTATTGCAGGCCTCCAAAGACTGGACCAAATTCACTATGGACACAGATGAAGTGAAAATTACAAAGTGGCAGCTAAACTGACTTAACAGGCAACATTTTATAGCCTAAAAAGCAGCGGTTTTGGGAGACAGATGGTGACAATGTAAAAGGACATAAAAGACAGAGAAGAAGAAAATTGGGAATAAAATAGGGAGGACACAGCAGAACTTTCTTTGAGAAGAGGAAGTTAAAAGTAATTAAAGACATTAAGTTAAAAGGAACTTAGAGATAAAAACTTCATACTGGCCTTTTTATTTGTCAGTATGAAGTTTTCACTCCAAATAAAAAAAAATCTTGCTATTATTGAATACACTAAAGAAAAAAAAGTGGGAAAAACAGACAAAGAAAGCAGCATTAATCATGCAATATTCAGCCAAATGCCTTTTCACAAAGGTTTCACCCTGGTTTGCTAGCTATTATCTCTCTATCCTTGGATATCCAAAAAGAAGCATCATTGCTTAGATAAAAGGATAAACAGCTCCTGGCAGGAATGATGGTCACACATTCCAGTTCCATTTGCCAAAGCAACAAACCTTTTACCTGCCTAATGTATGGCCTCAAAAGGGATAAATAACTTCAAGGAGTCATCCAATTGATCAGGAAGGACCAATGACATTCCTGTGCATGGAAACCCAAAAACTATTTAATCAGTAATAATTTCAGTATTTGATATATTAATATCTCCTGGAAATTAGTAATCAGGCTTAATAGTTGAGAGAAAATTCAATAATCAGGATCTAGCGTGTCACAAAGCCCAGATATATTTAACTCTCTAAGGAACTGAATGTCTCTTGTCTCTTTAGCTAAAAGGCACATAATAAGACATAAAACTGACTGAGAGAAGTTTGTTATCAAAATAAAACAGACATCACAACACAGCCAAATTCATTTGCTTGAAACAGTGGTTTTCAGCCGACAGTGCACTGCCAACTCTTCTAGGCTGCTTTTTTTTTAAATTCCATTGTTTGCATTCCAAGAAGCTTGAAAACATTTCTTTTCCTATTGATTTTGTCCTCTTCTACTTAACAAAAGCTGCATCTTGCTAAATTTCTATGTGGCCAACACAGCTGTCCCTTGTTTATTTTTGTGTTCAGCAGCAGCAGCATGTGCAGCTTGGAACGTGCATTAAACCAGGAACACTGAAGAGCTTGTGAGCGTTCAGGTCTGATAGGTCACACCAAAATAAAGGTTTATGTGATTCTCTGGAAGATTTTGGTTTCCTGTTCCATGCAGAGATAAGGGTATCTGTCACAAGATCCTACCAACTCATTTTAAGGCATTACTTTAACAAGTGTCTATGACAGATACATGTTCAGAAGTGCAGTCACTCCTTCAAGTCTCCATTTGTTTACTGACATGACTTATACAAATAAAAATAACTTTAAATAAAATCCAACCAAAATACATGCAGAAAGTTTCTGGCTTAGCTCTTAAGAGCTGTCAATGCTGCAAAACAAATACTCCACAGGGCTGGCTGGTTGAGTGGCTCGATTTAGCAACACAGAAAGGGCCAGCCCCTTGGTTTTGATGCTGTTTGAAAGGTTTTGATGAGCTTGGCAGAACCCCCCTGGTTTCCAGTACTACTCAAATGCAACCAGAGCTGCTATAAATTTGTCTTTAGGGAGAGGACATAACCTCATTTAGATTGGGTAGTTTCACATTCATTTGAAAGCTCATTTTTCTCTTTCCCCAATCCTCCCCGGGTGGCATTTTGTTCATCAGAAGGGTTTGCCCCTCAAAAAGGGGGAATGAACCATTTTTTCCTAGTAAGAATCTGTTTGAAGGCACAGGCCCAATTGCAAAAGGGACAGTAATAGAACTAAGCAGGGAAGTTTAATTCAGGCTTAACCAGAGCTAAATTATACATGAATCATCTGCAATCTGCTCTGTTGTGGCTAACATCCCCCCACCCTCTCCCTAAAGCATTTGCTTGATACTTCAGTACTATAACACTAGAAACAATGGCTGGTGCTGCACATTCAGTACCTGCACCCACGAGAATACAAATAATTTAACCTACAGAGTTGAATTTGCACTAAGAGTAGAGCTGGAACATTAACTTGGACTTTGCTGTCTATGCCCTTTATAGATTGAGGGTATTTGCTGGTTACCTTTCGTGCAATGCCATTTATAAATATCATTTGCAAAAGTTCTCAGCCACTTGTTTTGGAAACACCTTTTTTAGGTTAGTTTTTAGGTCTTGGTTTCAAGGACTTTTTTTTTTGCCTGGGAGGGAAGTGGAAGCTTCAACCCCAAATAACTGATTTAAGCTATCAACTGAACACAGGTTTTCCAGTGCAGACAGCCAACTTGTCTCCAGAATTCAGAAAACAAGAGAAGTACTTTTCCCAACACCCAAGAAAAAAGTGGAAATTTTAGTGGCTCCTCACGACAGAAGGTTAATGGCCCTGGAAATGCTTTTTAAAAGAGCAGTATCACATCTGACTTTGAATTGAGATAAGTGTCTATTAAATGCTATTAAAGTCATCACTGTGATTAACACTACTCAGCTGCCAGCACTGCTGTAACCACTCGGTGCCCAATTACTCATCCTGCAGGGCTCCCCATCCCCTCCACTCATTAACACACTCCAGGTTTACTCACAGCAGCACTTGCACAGTGACCAGGAACTGCAGGGGCTGGGTGCTCCCTCTTAGCACCACTTTACACAGGAGGATGTTTGGAAAAATCCATTTAGGAGCATTAGCTTCCAGGGTAGCGTTGAGGGGTCACAGAAAGTCACCTTGGACACTTTAGTGCTGCTCCTTCTCTGGCTGTTTGAAGACAAGAGTTACCACAGCTGAGCTCTGCCTTTTTAATGGGTGTGTTTCTAATTCTTTCAAGCACTGGTATTTCACTCTAAAGAACTGACATTTGTAGCTCTATTTTCCAGCCCACTTCCTTTTTAAAATAGGCATTAATAATACTTAAATGCATTCCTGTCTCTCTCTTTCACTCCTCCATCACTCAGAGGGTGGATTTTACTTAATCTCCCTCTGTTCTAAGAATTCTCCTGCATTTCTATCATCTGTATTCTCAGAAAAAAAAAAGCCAAAATGAAACCCCCCTCAAATGTTATTTGTAAAACTTTAATCTTGTCTCTGTCAGACCCAGAATATTCACTGTCTTAGGTGTATAGCTTGGAAGGAGAGGAAAGGAAGGAAGGTAGAAGCATGAATTACCCATAAGCAAAAGAGATGCTGGATACCCACTAAGCAGAACTGAAGTCAGTTTCCAGCCAAGCAACAAAAGAATTTAAGTGTGCTCCGTTTTAAAATTTCAGGCTCCTCTAAAGAGCAATTTTTCTTCTACTGAGTGCTAAAATGCACTCAGCAGACATTCATCTGGAGTCTAGTAAGACATGAAAATTATTGAACATTTGTCTTGAATCCTTCAGCTAATTTCTACAGCTTCCCCCCAAACTGTATTTGGGATTTTCCTGCAGATGACACATTAGGAATTACTTATTCTAGCTATGGGATACAAACTGCCTTTTTTGACCCATTACAATTTTCGTTGACCTAACCAGACTTTTTAAAGCTAGTAAGAAGTATCTGAAAATGAGAGAAACACTTTCAATCCATGCTGTAATCTCTATGACTTCTCAAAGACTGCTCCTATTCATTTACATCTCAAAGAAATAAAGCACTATGTCAGTCAGAATGAATGCAAATGTAAGGGAACAGCTTTTAAGAATGCAGAATTTCTTCCCTAGAGCATTGCTTGAGAATTAGATTTTATGATTGCCACAGACAGCTTTCTAAAGGCCCACTTCACTTAACTCCCATAAAACAGAAATTATCAAATTTGAAATAAAAAAGGATATTCTCACATAGCTGCAAGCATCCATCAAAAGACTCAGGACTTTCTTTCCTCTGTAATGCCAATCTGCCCAGAAAAGGTTGAAAAAAATAACCATTATAAAGAGTTTGGCTTGTTCAATCCCTTTCACCTTTGAGGAAATTTGGCAAATTTCACAAATGAAACCATATAATGAACTTACAGGTATTTCACACCTTCCTTCATAAACACAATAATTGTCTCCTCTCCTGATAACCCTCAGATATCAATCAATTCTGCACGATTCTAACTATATTAATAATAGAATTATTTCTAAGACACCAAGAGGCACTAGTGGTCATCAGGATTTAGCATGCAATTGAGTATCTGGCTAGAAATCAAAGACAGAGGAGTTGATAAATCCAAGGAGATTGCTGAACAACTCTAAGAGCTTCCTTAAGTGAAGAAGGTTCACTACAACCACTGATGCCCACCCCACCAGGCTGCCATCATGGAAAGCCTTCCCCATACATTTTAAGACACCAAAATGTAGGGTGGAAAACTGCTTTCAACCTTCACAGCAGAAAAGCCCCTGTGTCAACACAAAGCAGCTGCTGTCTGAGCTGCTGTGCAGTGGGAGAGGAGGGCACTGAGGAGTTCCTACATCAAAAACTGTAGGATCATCCACAGCAATTGCAGCAAAAGCCTTGGGTCACTGCACCATCCCACATCAGCCAAGGATCCAGGCTGTGGACACAGACAGTGCTGCTCTGTTCTCCCTCTGAGCCTTTCCAACTCTTCTGCCTCAACTTCCTCCCCAAGCAACATTAATGCTCACCATATTTTAATCAACAGGACTGACATATTGCAATGACATGTGCTTCTAAATGTGGCATACAATCTTGCTGCCAGATGCAAAGCACTTCTTGTTTAGACACTGAAATTAATAACAAATTTACCATTGAGCCTTCAGATCTTGTTGAGTCCTGCTAGCCAGGCAAGACAAAACACAACCACAGGCTCTAGCACGCCATGAATAGAGCACTTGTGCAAACACCCTCACATATTCATTACACTTCTTTCATCCTCTGAGCTTCACAGATCCTTAGAAAGTTATTCTGACCCAAAAGGTTCATGAAGTGTGGCCAAATTAACCTTCCATTAGGAAAAAAATGTTACTAAATTGTTTCTAGTTTGTGTTACTAAATTTTTTGTGAAGGCCAGAAGTTACTTCTTTAAGGGAAAGATAATTACTGAGATTGTTACTTTATGATTAAACCCCTAAAGCTTTCTGCACAGGGCAGGGAGTAAGTCACAGTCAAGCTTTTACTACAAACCACAAGATTTGGCAACAATTAAAGATGTTTTCTTGAAACCTAGCTACCACTAAAATAATTCACAAACTGAAACATTTAAGTGCATCGATGAAAACAAAAAGTCACATTTTAAAAATTAGGAACTGGCTCACCAGACTGTGATAGGCAGCCAGAAATCCTTGGGTGAAATATTTAAGGCACTTGAGGGACAGTCAGTTTTTTTACACCAGGTAATAAAGACAGAGCCACTTTAAAATTCCAGTTTAAATAAAACTCACAACAAAATAAAGTAACACTGCAAAACATTCCACAAATGTAAAGTTCAGAAAATTTACAAATAAACACTTACAAAAAAATAAATTCTTCCTTTGTTATAGTACACAAAATAGTGGCAGGAAGAGGACATTTACCTGCTTGAGCACACAAACTGTAAAGATCTCTCTCAAATACCACAAGAGGGGTCTTTTCAGGTTGCCAAATAGCCAATAAGCATGTTTGTTAGGGAGAAACAACTCAGTGCAGTTAAATATCAGATTCCAGTTTATAAACCAGAGCACCCCAGAAAGCAGTTGATTTTCTGTAATTTTCCCTGGGATATCTGTAGCTAGTTTTCCTGCTTTTCTGGAGCATCCAATTTTATTTCCTCCTCTCATACACACGAATGTTAAATGTTTGTGTTTGAATAAAGAGGCCACATCATTCTTGTACTATCTTTGGTACAAACCAAAAGCACCTTACACAGCACACTGGTGTCACCCAGTCCCTGCACCCCAGGTCTGTTCCTACAGAACACACACAGGAAGAAAATTTTCTGTGGTGGGGACAGTTTCTCCCCTCCACCTTCCAAAGTAACATCACAGTTAAATACAACATACAGTGCTCTTTCAAGCACTAATTCAAAATTTCACTCAGAATTCATGAAATGCATATTCTCATCCATTAGCTTATACCTAGTATGGTTTCTCACCCTTCCAGGACAGAGGGATATGACCAACAGCCCTGGGACACACTTCAGTGTCTGCTCCCAGAGATGAAAGAGCTGTACAAATCTCCACATCTGCTCAGTGTTTTTTGAGGGAAGGGGGAGAAAAAGGGAGAAGGAAAAGACAAATGGGAACTCAGTAAAACAGGTCTTGCCTTTCTGTTCCACATTTGTCCATTTGTCTTTTTTCCTGATATATTTTGCCTACTGTATTAGAGGCTTCTTCAATGGAAAGCAGTTCCTTACATGAACTTACTTGAACCTTCTGGGCTAAACAGACTCTGTCACTGTGTGGGTGCTGCCTCGCAGCTGAGGAAGTTAAAGGGTGAGCTCTGAGCATCATCATCAGCCCTAGGGCTCTTAGAGTCTCTGAGGCAGTCTGCCAGGATGTCCTGAGGATCCCTCAAGAAGACCACCAGAACAGTGATGTTGTCACTGGATCCATTTTCCTTGGCAGCAGCCACCAGTCTCTCTGCTGCTTTGAGCCCCACTCCTTTGGTCTGCATCAAATGATCCAGGACCAAGTCTACAACCTCATGGGGCTTGATGGCATCAAAGAACCCATCACAGGCAAGGAGCAGGTAATCTTCTGAGCCAGTCAGCTCAAAGGAATCTCCATCTGCATCACCAGAGACATAGGGCTTCTGGCAGATGTCACCTGAGACAGACACAAAGCAAAGGCTTGATTACTTCAGATGTAAACAGGTACTTCTTTACCCACCAGCTGCTTTTGCCATCCCCAGGGATGGTCAGATCATGTTCCAGAGGTACCTCATGCAGGATGAGAGTAGTCAAAATCCATGGAATAAGCACAGAAGACTTCTGTTTCTTTAAGGATGCTTGGAACCTACCTAAATCCAGTGGGTTTCTAAGGAGTTGCTTTAATTTAAAAATTAAAAGTAACTCCTTAGAAAGTAAAAAATTGAAGTAACTCTTTAGAAACTGCCCTAATTTTGCAGGGAAAATAAGGCATTTATTCCTAAGTTTTTTTCTCTCAGAAATATATTTGTGTGAGGAGATAGGACTTCATTTTGCAGATGTGCCTCCTGTACAGCCTTCAAAATGCCATGAAAATAAATTTCTCAGCTATCCAGATATACATCACAATGCCCTAAGAATCTGCTCATTGTGTTTAGTTTATCAGTTTTCTATGGACATACTTACCAAACATGGGTTGCTACTGATCCAAATAGCATTATACAAATTCCATACTAATCTCCTCCCACTCATATATTACATTTATCTACTGTATTACTCAGAGTTATTTTCTCTTTCTAGTTGCCCTAATTGGCAATTAGCAAAGTAAGCCTGTTTAATAAGATTGTGAGAATACTACAATTAAAATGACCTAAATTGCTGGATATTGAAGGAGAATGCAGTGATTTGACTTAAGCAGAAAGATCCAAAGTCAGGAGAAAGATTCATTCACATTAAAGTAGACAAAATGCCCTCACAATTCAGACATTCGAGCACATAAAGGCTTGACAAATATTTATTGCTTCCTCCACTTTTGTAAATTAAATGCTGCATATTTGTTAAACTACTATAAAACATTACAATACTTTAGGCATTTATAGGAAGCAAGATCTTAGTAGTAGGAAAAGAATAGGACTATCATAGCTAGTATGTAAAATAAAACAACATTTTATGCTCATGGTAGAACTAATAAGCTGATGTAGCTGCAAGCCATGCAAGTCCTTGCCTTATGGGAAGGACAGTAAGTAGTTTACTATTTGTTTGATGCTGAACAAGACACCATTTACAGCAAACACAGTCTCAGGTGGTGTGTTTCAATCAAATTTAATCCAAAGTTGACTGACTGTGGTGCTTTCTCTCACCAATTGCTCTGGAAACAGCCAAGGTACCATTAACCCTCCAGCAGTCCATGTAGGTTACACAGCCACCCAGAGTCTCAATCCTTGCTCTCTCATCCTGAAAAACAGTGGAATACATTTTGTTTGCTGCACCAGCTTCTGTATTTCTACAATGAATATAGCAAAGACACATAGCAGAATCTAGCACAGAAACAGGCACATAGGATTACTGGAAAAAATATATAAATGTTCAGAATGGAATACATGATAACTAACCTAAGTAACAATAGTCTTTGCATTGATACTCCTTTAACTACTCAATTGTTACAAATATTCATGCAGTGAAGGCAAAGGGTCATGCAATGCCAGTTAAATTTGCAAAGTCCCCATCCAATTTCATGGAATAAAATATCTGGCTATTTAAAATAGATAGGAAATGCAATACACTTTAAGCCAGTTAGGCCAACAGATTAACATTAGTTTTTCAATGATAGTATTGCATATAATGAAAGATTTGCATTATGCTACTATTTTAAATTGCTATTAATCTCAAATTACTAAGATATTTCATAACAGGCAGATTTAAATTCACACACAAAAATCCTGTGAAAGCCTGTAATTGCTGCAAGTTTGAATAGCCTGAGCAGGAACTGAAGTCAGGACTATCAGTACCATTCATTAGTACTTCCATGCAGGTAAGGTGTAGGGATCACCTTGTCAAGACACAGGAGTGGAAGCAAAACAAGAAATTGTTAATTCCATGCATCCTAACATACAGTATATGTAGTTATGTAAAACACCAAACACTTAAAAGGGCTTGACTCCAAAAGGTTTCAAGACAGAATCTGACATCACACACTTAGAATGAAAAAAACAAGTCAGACTTACTTCTCTTTCAGGTTTGTGAGGTTCCATTAATGTCACAGCTTTCCCTTGCTGCACCAGCATCACCTGAGAGTCCCCCAGCCATGCTATGTGCAGTTTGTTCCCTACAATCAAGGCAGACACACCCGTTGTGCCACTGCGCAGCTTCTACAGAAGGAAAACAAACCAGGTGTGTGAGGTGAATATTCAACAAGCCCTACCAGGATGTGTGGCAATATTGAACACTTTGGTTTAATCACACTAAATGCAGCAAATTAGACCTGCTAATCCTAATTCAGGCACTTGAAAAAAGGGTAGAAGATAGTAGAGAGATTTGAAATAAACTATTTATAAATGTATTTTCTAATATGCAGATGATAAATACTGTCTCTTATGTTCTTCCTTCTCTTGCTATTAATTCCAAAACTGATCTAGGAGGCTAAGAGCTCTGTTGTTTAAAACAGAGACATGCACAAAAGCAAAAGGATCTGAATTTCAGTAGAATGAACATTTCACAAACAAACACATCTCTCCAATCACTTCCACATTCTCCACCCTACAGATACCTTGCTGCACACAGATCTCCTTATCCTTGGGTATTTAAATGAGAATGTCAACAAAGGAAAAACATCCAACTGTCCTAGATTCCCTGAAAAGATTAGTGAGAGTCAGACCTTATGAAATGCTGGTCCCTCTTTCGTACCTCATTGACAGAAACAAAGATATTGACAATGAGTACTTCCACAGCAGTGCTATAATAAGAGCTCTCAAACAGTGTAATGTAGTTTTGAAGAAAAAATGTTCATTGCACCAACTTAATTCAAAGTTTCATCAATAAGTTTAATGAACTGAGGAGTCTGATTTAAATCATAGAACACGTTTTTCATTTACAATCACCAGTGACACTAATGGTGGGACAAGAAAGAGGAAGATAGCAACCATATTATCAGGAAGAAAAAAAATCTCTTTTCCAGGTAAGAGGTAAGACAGCAGAACATCTAGAGGCTGCCTGGTTTAGACAAGGAGGCACCAGTATTCTCTCAAATAATTGATATGTCAGAATCATTTAAATCACTTTAGCACTTCTTTTCAATTACTCATCTTAAACCCAAGCACTGGTTTTCCTCAAAATAAGAAATAATGTGATTAAACAAAATCTTTATATGTAGAATAATTTCATAAAGAAGCCAGTGATTCAAATAAACTACTGTCAGAATTTTCTGGATAATACCACACTGTCCAACAGTGCTCAGTGTTATTTAAATACAATGGAATTCATCTCTACCTACTCACCTCTCTTTTGGCTTTGAAAAGAAACATTTCATCTGTCTTCTGGAAAGAGCATTTCAAGGCCTCAGCTGGATTCTTAACAATCTCTTCATGTAACCCAACGTTTACATGTAAGTGGGTTGCTGAGTAATTGGCAGCATCCACTCCACCATGGCCATCAAACACCGCGAAGTAAGCACGATCAACATCATCCTTTGGCAGGGAGGAGAGACAGGAAGACATTCATGTTCAAAACCAAAATAGCTCAGACTGGTACCAACAAGCAAAGATTCTTTATTCTGGTTTCTTGCATACAAATGGCAATTTGAGTTCATTTACACATATACAACATGGATAAAATGGTACTTTGCAGGCCAATTACTTTTCTTTGTTTGCTGCTAGTCACTTAATGTCCTTAAAAATAACCTGGCATTGAAGCAGCAGTCTGCTGGTTGGTTATATTGTCCTCCAGCAGTTTCATGAACTGCACTTGTACAACTGCTGGTCTCCATATCATAGAATGATTTGGGTTGGAAGGACCTTACAGACCATCTAATTCCAGCCCCTCTGCCATGGGGAGAGACACCTTCCACTAGAGCAGGTTCCTTCAAGCCCCTCTCTTGTAGCCCCTTTAAGCACTGGAAGTCGCTATAAGGCATCCCCAGAGCCTTCTCTGCTCCAATCTGAACAATCTCAGCTCTCAGCCTGTCTTCACAGCAGAGGTACTCCAGCCCTCTCAATATCTTTGTGGCCTCCTCTAGACTCGCTCCAGCAGGTCCTTCCCATTTTTATGTAGGGATTCCCAGAGCTGGACACAGCTCTGCAGGTGGGGTCTCACCAGAGCAGGGTAGAGGGGCAGGTTCCCCTCCCTCAGCCTGCTGCCTTCCCTGCTCTTGATGCAGCCCAGGATATATTTGGCTTTCTAGGCTGCAGGCACACACATCACTGGGTCACATTGAGCTTCTCATCAACAAACACCCCCAAGTCCTGCTCCTCAGGGCTGCTCTCAATCCATATATAAGTTGTGTCAGTCACAAGAACATTGTAACTCCAGCAACACAACACTAGGTGAACTTCCCATCTTCCCATACCATAACTTATGACAGGAATCCCAAAGTCACAAGATCCTCCCTGCATCACCTCTTTATCAGGGCAGTAGCTGGCCCCCAGCAGTCTGAGTCACTAAGTCCTAGCTCCAACGCAGACACGACAAATAACTTATGGCAACAAACTCACAGATCATCATCACCAGGGCCCTGAGCCCGCAGCAATGCTGCAGAGCTGCCCAGCCACCCTCCCTGCCGTGCCCAGACCTACGGAGAGCCCGAAGAGCTGGTTGAACTCCGGCAGCAGGACGTGGCGATCCTCCATCTTGCGGCGCGCGTTGCGGATGGCGTGGATGGACACCAGCAGGAAGCGCGCCAGGGGCCGCAGCGGCGGCGGCTGCTCCTGCCACGCGGAGCACACGTCCCGCAGCTTGTTGAAAAAGCAGCGCTGCAGCTGCTCCCCATCCAGCACTGCAGCACACAGACAGAACGGTGAGGGCTCGCTCCCACCCTCCTACGCTGCCCCCCATCTTTTGGCCTGTCTTTCCTTCAAGCTTCTTTCCCTACAGCTACATACACACATCCAGCACCCTGCCTTTACGGGCTCTGCAAGAATTAAAATGAGGTCCTGAGAATAACGTGGAGAGGAAGTTGCAATGGAAGAAATGTAACATTAAGGATAATAGCAGCTTCTTTACTTGCTAGTTCTTTTTCGAAATAGAAGTTTATCAAGCAGGTGATTACATTACAAAAATCATAACAAAGACCCAAAAACTCAGTCCACTGTATTAGACATAAATGTTATTATTACATAAGTTAAATCAGTAAGATAAATTGGTAGGAGTTTGTACATACTGGAAAGTAAAAGGGAATCATCAAATGGGCAAAAAAACCTTCAAGATTACATTACTGTTGTCTTGAACACAAGGGCTGAAAAAGCACTGGCCTGGCTTTGGGTCAGGTTATGTCCTACTGAACCACTTCCACTGAAACAACAAGGAAGTCTGAAACTGTTTGCTGAGGCCAATAGCTCAACTCATGGTTGAGCTGAACAGATTAGAATTTTAAGCTGTTATCTTTATCTTTTTAAATACTCATGGTTGTAGGAGCTTCAGGGACAGAACACTTCCACTGCTCTCCAGCTTTGTCATTACAGAGCAGAACTGTAAACGCCCACTGGGCACCGCGTGAAAAGCTCCAGCCAGACACTCAAATCCTCTTCTGGACAGATCCCAAAGATCAATTAATCCAAACTTGTTCATCAGTGAATGGCTTGGTGCCTGGCATTGTGTCTAGCTTTGCAACACAGTATTCTTCCAAACAGGTAACAATTTAAAGTTTTGTTATTTGAATGGGAAACCTGCCTCAATGCTAAATCAACTAACTTCAAAACACACTGAAAAGAACATTTATAGAGCAAAAATAATTTGCTTGTGACGAGTGTATACGCTAAAGACCTGCAGTGCATGAACTATCTTTCCTATATCTATTTTATCCTGACTCCTGCTAACACTGCTAGCATTAAAGCCTCCTCAGAACTCCTTTTTATAACTCCAGGATGTCAAGCTTTTTTTTTTTTTTCTTCAACAACAGTGGCTGGCCAGCTTCAGATGCATGTCTGGGTCTGGAGAATTGAAAGCTTAAATTTAAACACACATCTTTGATTAGCAGCCACTACATACTAACCAAAATTACTTTTGATTTGCTTAATATGTAGGTGTTAAGAGACAAGCTATAAAAACCCTGAGATATTAAATCATTCCATACACAAAATAACTAAATAGGACAGCATCTCTGACAGCCTTGCCTACAGCTGTTAGTTTACATATTTGTAAATGTCTAGACTAATACTGACCAGAAGACACATATTGCTGCTTAAATATTAAGCTTGTGACATCTGACAAAGACTTTAGTATCTTAACAGCAGAAATGCTTCTGCAATGTACCACAAACAGTGGTACTCACACGTGCACACATTTCCCCCCCTATTGCTTATTATATAATCACTTCTTTCATTCCAAGAATGCTTTTTTTGGCAGATTTATTACTGCAGTGCAGGAAGAGAGTCCATACTGTGCTGTAGCATGAGGAACAGCTTTCCTTCTAGTTGTACAGTTAAAGTGATGTAATAGCAATTACAAGATAGGGGATAAAAAGTACAGTCCAAGGGGGCAGAAAATGAGCTTCTTTAAGTAGCTGTTCCTTGCTGAGACTGGGCAACACAAGTACCTGGGCAATGAGCAAATTTCCATCCCGTTTGATAGGGGAATGAATGGTCAGTAGAGATTTGATCTAAATGGCAATGGTGACAAGAAAGAACAAACAAAATAGACAGGAATATATAAAATGGAAATTAAAGAAGGTTTTAACCATCAGAACAGGGAGGGCTCTGGGGCATTTGTCAACAAGGAATAGTGAGAGCGAACATGAACTAGTTCAACACGAAACTCATCCAAGGATTTTCCAACTGTGCCTGCACTATCTTAAAAGTAGACTCCAGTCTTATCTTTATGGCCTTCAGAGCAAAACAGCAACCTGAATATTCTACAAATGTCCCCAGTATAACCAGAGACATCAGATGCTTGTGACCAAGAACATGTCCATGTCCTATCAAGTCCTTCATTACTCCTTGTTCCTAAACATTATTTCTTTATTATTCAGATAGGGTTCATTTTGGTTTGTGGGCCCAAGATTTACATAAGACACAGAACTACAGATTACAATCCTAGGCTCACAAATGTATAGCAGTTCATGTCCCATATTACTGCTATAGTTCACCTCAAAGACAATTACATGGGAGTCAAGGAAGAGTCCTCAGCACAGTGACTGCAGGGTGCTCTGGCAGCAGTTTCCAACTGCTTGGTGCAAACCCACGTAATTAGCCTAGGTGAGTTACAATATGCTGCTTCTGACTTTCCTGTAGAGGCTGCAGTGACCTGCTCACACTGAGCTCATATTTGCCAGCTCCCCCTCAAGGCAGAACCCTGCCCCAGGCCAGGTTAGCTGCAGTGAGTGAAGGCCACAAGCATTAGGGCAAGGGATGACATAATCAGGGTGCAGCATGACTTAATTAACTGAGTTCCCCCTCCTGCCGTTTCAGACTTGGACATGAATGCTGAAAGAGGCTTCTGGGAAGTGTCATATCCTGGCTACTGCACTGCTCTGTTTGGGGCACGCTGAACTGTCTTTCAACCCATCCCAGAAAAAATGGAAGGGTGAATATTTCCTCTTACAGAACAGACTGGTTTGCCTAAGATATCTCTTCTCCATTTTTATCTTCTACTCTGCCTGCATCCTGCTCCATTTAAATTCTTGGCACTGGGACTAAAGGTTTGGTGGAGTCTAATGTTAAACACTTCAGTACGTAAATGCAGTAGGACCATCTGTTACACAAGGCACAAACCCAGTACTCAGTCACCAAGGTCTGTTCTCTCTCCTGTTCTCTCCAGTTCACTCAAGAAAAAATGCAGGCATCAGGTAGAAGACAGAAACTCTTCTTCCCTCAGTATCCCACCTTTATAGGGGAGAGTGGGAAGAAAAGAAATAATTGATAAAGACCCAGACTATCGAGCAACTTGTCAAAAGAAAGATCTGGAGTTTCAGGATGTTTAAGATGTGGAGGAGCCAGAATCTGGTTGCCAAGACAAAAGCAAGATGGTTTATATGGATGAATTGAAGGTGTTGGTCTGGCTGTACAACAATTGTGGTGATGTCAATGTCAAAACAGGAATAATTAGCTAAGGTCACTCTGCCAAAGGGAAATGGACACACTCTTCCCTTTCAGAAAGGCAACACACAGGATCAGTCAGGGCTCCAGACACTGCGTTTGCATGTTGCCCACAAAACAAGCACATCTACCTTTCATCCCATCCCACAGATACACAGCAAAAGAAAATGAAGTTCCATTCACTGCTGCTTGCCAGGCAGCCTAACCAAATAAATCCGGGAAGCATTTCAAAACACTGAGCTCTCCTGAAAGACAGCCTCTGGGAAAACCACAGACGGAAGAAAAAGTATACTTACAGGTGAATCTTTCCTCATCTCCTTCTCCCTCTGTTTCCACATTTTGCAGCTTAAAGCCAGTCAAGTCTGTTTGGAGAACTTCATCAACTGCAGCATGGATCAATGATGCTGCAAGAAGTGGTGAAACATCTCTGCTGGTAAGAAAAGGAAGGGAAAGCAAAATAGACACCATTAGCTGAAACTGAGCTACAACCTCACAGTGAGTCTGGTGACCGCAGACTTAGAAACCATTACACACAATAATACAAACTTCATTAGTAAACTAGTAGAGCAAACCATATGTTCAATATTTATTCACACAAATCTTTAGTAAGAGTCTCAGTTAGACAACTGCTTTCTCAAGAATGTAAAGAGGAAGAAGTGTATGAATCATATTTTCAAACTGTTGCCTCACACTCCAGTCACAGATGGTACCTCTTTCTCTTGAGTGCTCAGATGGGAACTGCTACCTTCAATTGCAGCCTCTGAACACACACATTTTGTTTCTACTCACTACACAGCATTTCTTGCTTGCAGTCAACAGTGTCCCCACAGACAGTATCAAGAGCTCAGCATTGTGGTAGATGCAAATCTCTAAAAAAGTTACTTGGAACTCTCCTTCCCTTTTTCCCACAAGAAAAGTCATGCTTAATGCTAACCTACAGCCCTTATGATTCAGTTTATTCTGACTGAAAGTTTTCCAAAGAAGCCACCCAGGTAAAAGGTGCAAAGAGTTGAGACTGGGGACTAGGATAAAAAGAGGCTCTAAGATTCATTTTTTAGACAAAGCTTTTAGGTAGGCATCTAGAACACAATAATGCTACACTGTCTGCTCACCATCTCCTGCTCACTCAGTGCTTTATTCAAGCCACATGATTTATAAGTATACACTTGTTATAATGTTTTTCAACCTGTTAACAAATAAATCCCATCCAACTCCAAAAGGAGGCTACTATAAAATAACTCCTATATTCACTACAGTCTCATGGCAAGCACTAACAACTACAGTATACATACAAAATGTGTTCCAGCCATTTCTACGACCACAACGAAGAATAAGCATCAACATACATAAAAAGCCACTTTATCCATTGTTCATGGAGTGTTTGATTCCCACAAGGTGTTGAATTACCCAGCCAAAGCAAATACCACATTAAGGTGCAAGTCAAGGACAAGACTTTGTTTTCCCAGGAAACATTTAGAAAGTTCTGCATGAAACTGGTTTGCTGGGGAGTATGAAATGGTGGAAGCATTTGGTCTGTGATGTTGCTCAGCAATGAGTGGTTTGTATGTACAGAAGGGCAGGGAGGGGAAGGCCACGGGGTTTTAGATCCCAGCGACAACAAGCTGAAATGCATTTTGCCATTGTGCTCCTGAAAGAGGGGCCTTGTCACATCCTCCCAGCCATGTATGAGTACCTCCTGTGGCAGCAAACAGAAAGCATTGTGTCAGTCAGCAGGCTCCAACACAGGCCTGCTTTATGCCACGCATTCTGTGGCAGTGATGGCCCAATTTAATGAGTTATTTCGGTACTTCAAATAGATGGCAACGTGTTTGCAGTCCTTTCAGTGCTAGCTGCAGTCATGTCACATCAAGGGAAAACAGAATGTGGCTTTTTATTTCTTTTTTAAGGCTGATATGCTTAGGGGAGGTAGCTCCTTTCCTAGCTCATTTAAAGTAACAATGCCTGCTTATAATGACTCTGACACTGACAGACAACCTTTTAAAAGGTCAGGCAAGAAATACATCCAAAACAGATAAGGCACCCCTGCCCTCCAAAATCCTTCTTCCTGTTGTTGTTCATGTAAGAGAAAAAGAAAGAGCTGTGAAAATATAAGCCCCATAAACAATGTCAGATGTGTTGTTGACACTGCTGAAAGTCAGAAGCTTTAGTCAAAGCATGTTTCAGCTCCAAGAATAGAGACAAGGAACATTAAGAAAATAGCAATGCATTTAGCTGCACAGTGAGAGCCACAGCTTCAGACATCTTCAGAATTTCTCTGCTATACTGGAGGAAAAAAAAAATCTTATCTAGCCTGGGTTCACAGCTCAGCATCAGAAGAGGGTTTAATACTTTGATTTTAAATTTTGTACATTTCTGCTTTCCAGAGTCCAGAATTACTGAATTGGGTCCATAAAAAGCAGCTTAAACAAAAGGAAATCCACTAAGTCCTATAATGCACAAGTCGTGTACAAACCTCTGCTTACAGGATGCCTACAACAAAGAGAAAAATTAGCAGTTATGTCACATCCTTCAACTTTTTCCAGTTGCCACCCAGTTCCTAAAAAGGAAATTTTGTGATTCCTCAGTACTGATATGCTTCATTCAGCTTTGCTTCCTATGTGTTTCCTCCCACTCCATAGTTCTGCAAATCTTTAAGACAGTGGTGGTTGTTTATTGGGATTTTGTTATTATGCAGACAGCAACAACATCAATTGATTCTGACACTGAAAAAAGATAAAGTCTAAAAACTACCAAACCTGTTTAGTTCACACTCAGTTCTGAACAGAACATATTTGTGATTACTTTATTAAATCCTCATCACAGCATCACCATATTGGCAAGACTGCTTTCCACTTGAGCTCAAGTAAATGGAGCTCCAAGGAATGGCATCCTTCATTCAGGTTAAATGTTTATCAGTTCTAAGTTCACCTTCTAAATCAGAGACTTTAAGAGTTAACAAAATGTGTCACTAAAATAGAGCAAGAACCACTGTTTTAGTTGAGAGCTACAAGGTCTCACTTGGCTGGAGAGTCTCTGGAAACAGCCACAGTACCTATGGCAACCAGTGCAAAAGTAACCCACTGCAATTACCATTGCAGACTTCAAACCTTTCCTGTAAGCAAAGAACAATGTCACTTATTGTTAAAACCTTCCTTTCAAAGAAGCCCAAGACACCCTGGTGATGAGCTGACCCAAGCATAATTTAATCTCCATGAATCAGAAGGAACACTGTAGTTGTTTCCTAAAGTGGAAAACCAACTGTATTGGGAAGAAGAGAAAAGCTGGTGGGGTGTGTTACAGGCACAGGATGCTGCTTTAGGGGAATCTCAGAAGAAACATGTTAGCCCCATTCCTCTGACACGCAACACTAAACACTCAGCCTCAGCACACAGGCTAGTAGTAAACAGACCTTGAATTTCTTTGCTGCAGGCTATTTCTTTGCTAACATAAAGGGTGTGCTCTGACCACAATAAAAAATATTTTAAAAGAATTAAAGCATGTCGTAACAGTGCAGACAAGGCATTGTAGCTTCACCAGCAGCTGAAGTCAGATCAACAGCGGCTGGAGCATGGAGCTCATCTCCTCCAGCTACTCACAGCAAAATACAAGACTTGTTTCAAAAACCTGAGTACAGATAAAAGAGGTAAGTTAAAGAGTAAAGTAATACTTATGATAATAAAGATGACACTTAAATTTACATGTCACCCTCCTCCTTGAAAGATTCTGGATTACTGGACACACACAGTACTGGTAAAAGGAGCTATGCAAAGCTCTTGTTGATACACATACCTCCAGGCCAAAATAAAGTTACACACAGAAGTAGAATGCAATTATAATGTTTTGCATACTTTAGATTTGGCATAAATTACAGAACAGAACTTACTTCTCTTGTTCACCTTGTTTCTCTTCTGCAATACAATTTAGTTATCTATTTTTTTTTCATGTCAAAAGACCAGCTGTCACACCACCACAGCCACAGTGTAATCACATATGTCAGGTCAATCCTAAGACTATTATTGACCCTTTTAGTACCAGTCTGCAGAAAGAAAAACACCAAAATATGTACACATTCTTTTGGAAAGCAGAAACACAATAAGATAACTTCTCACTCATTTTTTATTTGGGTCATTAAACCCCCAGTACACTTGCAGCAAGTGTTGCAAACAAGTCACCAGCTCAAAGATGCTCCACCTCTTCCCCTCCAGTTTAAGCAGGTACATTCAGAAGTATTCAGCAAAGAGTTTTTTGGGTAAAGGGGAAGCATCCAGAGCATCAAAGGCCAGGTCACCACCTTGGCCAGAGCCTCAGCTACAACTACACTTTTTGTGAAGGCTTGAAAACAGTTGACAGACTTCCTGCAGTGCTCCATGCCCAGCTTACAGCTGCTTTGAGGACTCAGAGTTGTGCAGCAGATGGCAGACCCCAAAAAGATGCTCCTCAGCACTGGGAGCAGAGAAATGAGCTCTGTGTCACCTTGGAGGGTGGTACACAGCCTCTCTAGGATATGCCAAACACTCCATGTTTACACAAAGCCTTCTGCATTTTTATGCACCTATTTTGCAAGCAAAAGGATTCATATTCCCCCCACTCCAAATACACACATTCTCCCACTGTACTGTCAGGAAATCTCTTTGTATAAAATAAAGCACAAGAAATTACCAACTGTCTTGGCCAAGTATTGATCACTTATCTTTCAGATTAAAAAAAAGTGATTAATTTTGTTTCTAGACATTATTACCAAAGTCATGGCAACAAGGCAGCAGTGCTACTGCAGGCCAGAGCCGCAGTGTGTAATCCTCTTTTCCTTTCAGACTGTACAAACACACATATGCTGGGCAGAAAGAAGTGCTATATCTCAAAGCACAAGCTCCAGCACAAGTCAGCTGCAGCTGCCTCACATCTGAGGGAAGAGGTGCCCTTATTTGCTCCATGGCTCTGGAACAGAAGATCACACACAGCTCAGGGTGTGTTTCCAGCATGTTGCAGCTCTATCAGCAGCGGGTTTAGTGCAGATCTGCAAATGCCAGCAGTTCTCCAGCAAGTGAAAGATCCTCTCACACTGCCAAAATAATAGCAGGTCACAAGTTTCCTCATAAACAAAAGCTGCTTGTATTCAGTATTTTCTCCCCAATCTGCTGCTTTTATTTCCCTTTTGCTTTTTGTTCTTATAATCAACTACAGAATGTTTCCACTCAAGCAGCTTTAAGCATTAGCATTTATTAGAGCAGTACCTAGAGTTCCCAGGGTGATGGTGGCCTGAAAAGTACAAATATATATCCATTAAGGAGAGAACATCTGACATTCTACAATGCACAGGAAGTTGTTTCTTGTGCTAATGACATCAGGTCATTAAAGGAGATGAACAAGAGAGAATCAAAACAAATACATAAACAATGCCACACAGAATTTCCATCTCTTATGGTTATATGAAGCAGTTTTTTTCCAGCTTTTCTTATGAAACTACCAGAAGTAGCAGCTTTAGAATCCAGAATCCATCTGTTCAGACCCTTCAGTCATTACTGAACAGTTTTTATACAAAATGTGCAGTGAAGAGTCACCTGCTACTTCCATTTTTTCTCAGCAGGAAGAAAAACCCCACAGCAGAACAGGAGAGGCTTAATGCCACTTTTCAATTAAACCCTAAACATGTTGTTTCAAAATTGAGTATTTATCCTGAAACAACAACAGAAAGGGTGTTTCACACAGGTTATGAGAGCAAAATATGCAAACATGTTCCCAAGCAAGGAGAAGTACCAGTGCATTACATCAAATTGTTCAAATTAGGAATAAGGAAGTAAGTTTTGGGAAATTTATTAAAAGCAGAGGTCACAGTAGAAAGTAGTTTTCATAGAGGAAGAGACTAAAGAGTGTTTTAAGAAGAGATTGGGAAATCAGAAGCAAGCTAAGATTTTCTTTTCCCCCTCCTCATACTTAAACCACATTGGACAGTAAAATATCAGAATTGCTGAATTAACTACTCTAAAAGAAGGGAACACTGGAAATAAAGATTCCAGGGCCACACCTTGGTGTGAGCACTAGAGTGTAAAGCACAAAGACACAAAACAGGATGCTGAGGCAACAGCAGATCGCTTGGGAGGGGGCAGGACAGGAAGCCCAAGTCTCTCAACTGTTATTGTAGTAAATCTCCTCCAACAGGAAGGCTGCAGCAATTTCACATTGTTCTTTGGATATGTCACAGGATGGCCATACAAGTTTCAGCTCCTATCAAGGGGAAGACAAAATTTCTATATTTGGGGGTCTGACTTCATCTCATGTTCTGTTGCAGTGAAAGTCAGGAATATTTCAGGTTAATTTCTAAAGCTTGGGAAGTAACTAATGGTCGCTTCATTAACATTCACCTATTTTCATAGGCTATCAGAACACAGCTATTACCCAAAAGTGTATGTTAATTAAAGTTCTACAAAACAAGATTATTTAAGTCTGCTCTGATTCTTCAAAATGTTATGCATGTGTTTAGCTGCAGTTCACAGCAGGCAGTTTCATCAATTTATTTATCAATGATCTATCCAAAGTAGAAATATCTGCAAAACATTACCAGATCAGTGATTAAGGGGCAAGGCCTGCCAGAGAGCAAATTGGTTTGCTGTTTTAGCTGGTGTTTCACCATGGTAGCAGAAATTGGTTAAAATAATTCATTTTAGATTAGGTCATTCAGGGATTAGCCTGATGTATCCAGCTGCTTCCACGTAAAAGGATGCATGCAGCCTTGGAGAAGCAGCAGCATTCAGAAACTCCTTGTTGAACCCAACCAAAGCTGTTTCTTGGCCCATTCTCTTCTCAGCAGAAATCCTGATCAGTAGTGCAGGAACAACGCTCCTCACTGCAAGGGCACAAAAGTCTGTGCCTCCAAGCAACTGGCAGAACAAGCTAAACATCACCATATGCTGTCTTGTGAGCCAAGGACACTGCTGGGCCTTCACTGGCTATGGACCTTGATGGCCTTGGGCCCTTCTGGGCATGACCCAAACATCTGTGCACGTGTCAATGAAGTACCTGACAAGGCAGAAATGAAAAGCAGAACAGCAGAACTGAGTGTCAAACTTGCTTCCCAATAACACTTTGATCCACACAGAAATCCTCCATCAGTACTAATCACCATGTAAAATACATTGTGTGATACCAGAGTGTTAGAGAAATCTCACACTCGGGAAACAGAGATCAAGCAACAATGCCAGAAGTCAGCAAGGTACATCCAATAACCCTCCAGAGTGTTAAATCTATGTAGAATAACACAGTGATATTTGAGGGTGTGTGTTTTTCACTGAGCTGCCCTCCACGTGTTTGGATGCTGCCATGACAGGCTGCTGGATCCCAGCTACAGTGACCTCCTGCACAGTCACTGATCTGGCCCCTCTTCTGCATCTTCAACAACTTTGATACAAACATTTAAGTGTCTTCTAATGCCAGCCCTCATCCTTATTTTTCCATTTCTTAAAGTCTTTAACATCCTTATATCTCTTATTTACTTACTACTCCCTCATCTATTTTATTAAGGCTTAAGATCAACAGAAAAGTTTATCTAGCCTTCAAAGCTGTATTTTGAATAGATCCACAAACATGGGAAAAAAAGGTAATGCTGGCAATTTCTCACACAATCAGAGACTTCAGTTTTACTTCCCAATTACAGGGATTATAAGAAGAAGGCCTGCAATTTCAAAACACAAGATTCCTGTCTTGGCCTTGGGCTGTATCAGTCTTCTTCTCCACCTGCAAGAACTTAGCCTACCCAACAGGAAAATGCAGCCTTTTTGCAACTGCAAAATGAGGTTTCTCTTTGTCTTAGGAGTCTAAAAGTGAGCCATAATTCTGTAGGGATCCCTACATTTGACACTTCAGGTACACTTCATTAGACCCAAACTCATGACTTCACCCAAATTTCTTATCTATTTCTGGTTTTCACAAACATTTTGTGAAAAGAAGAATTAATAAGTAGATTGCTTCACTTCAATTCTTTACTTTCTTTAGCTCTCATTCCCCTCCTCTTTTTTTTTTTAATTGCCAGCTCAGGACTTGGGCAGCTCCACAAGAGAGGCTGTGGAGCCAGAACTGGCTGCAGGGCAGGAATGTGAAAAATGAAGCTTCTGACACTGGCAGGCTCCTCTGTGTAAACACCAGGAGTGACAGGTGAGGTGAAAGCATTGCAAAACCATCATTCCTCTTCTGCTTCCACTTGTTGCTGTGCCCAATAGACAACAACAGAATGTCAGCAGATATGCAGCTCAGAAATGCTGATTTTTAAAGCACTGCAGTTTGAGTAACACACCCCACAACTCTACAGCCTCATACCTTCCTCTCTAAATCAAGTGTAGAGAGCACCAGCCTGGCCCACGTGGCACAGTGGGTGCCATGTGATAAGTATTTGTTCAAGACTGGCATTACCCTGTTCCTTAAAGCATTCACCCAGAACCACTCTTGCTCCACAGAGTTCAAAGATTCAATGCATGTGATGAATTTGTAATCTCACTGTGGAACAAAACACAGCTGTGTTTTGGTCAAGAGCAATTTAGTCAAAGCACAACTAAAAAATGCAATGATTATCAGGGCCTTTTAAAACTACAGACTAAGAAATTGCACTTCTTTGGTATGCATTTTTCATCTTCAGATTTAGGCATACCATTTAACTGAGTGATATTATGTCCATAAAAACCTCTGTAATATGCAGGAGTAACTTAAGCCAAATTTCCAGGACAATTTAAATATCTAAAAATCACCTATACATTTTCAACAGCAACAAAAAAAATCTAGTTAGTGTTCCTAAACTCAGTGGATGATAGCTTAAAAGGCAATTAATTCAAACCACGTTTACTATCTATCAAATTCCTCTAGTAACCAGGTAACATTCAGCACATACCAAACCAGAACCAGCCCCCTCCACACCCCAGTACCACAGCACAGCCTGAGCACCACTCGTGCTCTTTTAGACCATGCACAATCAGTGCTCTTGGCTTCTAAAAGCAGGTTAGTGAAGCAGATTGTGGCAGGAACTTGGTAACAGCTGGAGCGCACAGGCCCTACTGCCGAAGTGCATTAGGAGAGCAGAGTATCAGGAGACAAGAAATTGGTGGGAGATAACCTGTTCCAGTGAAGTGAACTTGCTAAAACAAAGTCACACTAAAATTCTTAGCAGCATTAAAGAGGAAGGCGAAACTGCTCAGGATGAAGTTGTTAGGATGCAGTCAGGGGATGACAGAAGCATCACTGAGGAGCAGCTGCGTGTTCCAGCAGCGGTGTGACTGCGCTCCTGAAGTTGTAAGAAAACATCAGCCCGCACCAGCACGTCCCACTCGGCGGGCTGGGGAGCTGAACAGCCCTGGAGCCGGCTCGATTCCTACCGCGGGCAGCCCTGCCAGGCTCCTCCGGGCTGCTCCCCCGGACCTGCGGGCCCCGAGCCCACAGCGCCCCACCGCAGCCCCGGCCGGCCGTGACTGCGGACCGAACCCGCTCCGGAGCGGGAGAGGAGTATGGAAAAGCGCACACAAACAATACCATGAACGCACGGGGCCAAAGGCCTGTAGCCTCAATAGCAGCATGCTAATAACAGTCGCCAAAAGTAATTTAGAAGCGGGAATAATAATAATAAATAAATCTCCAAAATCAAAATTCCCCGGAGACGCTGAGGGCTGTCCCCCGCCCCCGGCGGGCCCCGCGTCAGGAGGAAGCGCCTCCCGCGCCTGCACCTGCTGCGGCCTCGGAGCCGGGCGGCCCCGCTCCCTCACGGCGGCCGCCAGCGGCGCCCCCGGGGCGGCCCGGCCGGAGCCCCCGCCCGCCGCACCGTCCCCTCACCTGCTGCCCAGGAGGCTCCTCGCCCGCTCGGCCAGCGCGCCCGGCACCTCGGCCCTGCTCAGGGCGCCGCTCCCCGCGGAGCTCCACGGCAGCGGCTCCCCCGGGCCCAGCGGCGCCGGGAAGTCCCTCAGGAAGGAGCTGAGGGGAGCCGCGGACGGCTCCACTTCCAGCGCCATGGCGGCGCTCCCGGCCGGGAGGGGCGAGCGGGGCGGGGCCGGGTGCGAGAGCGCTGCCGGCCCCTTTAAGGGACGCGAGGGGGCGGGGCCTGTGGGGCGGGGCCCGCGCGGGGGCGGGGCTGGAGGGGCGGGGCCCGCGCGGGGGCGGAGCCTCAAACAATGCCTGGAATGTGGGAGGAGCTCCCGGGCCCGCGGGGCGGGACGGACCGGGATGGCCCGAGAGGGACCGGGATGGACCGGGCGGGACCGGGATGGCCCGAGAGGGACCGGGATGGACCGGGCGGGACCGGGATGGCCCGGGAGGGACCGGGATGGACCGGGCCGCTCTCTGCACACCGCGGCTTCTGGTGCTCCCCTTCCACACACCCTCTGCCATCAGAGAAGGGCTGAAAGCAGCAGGAAGGAGGACGAAGGCGTTTCCCAGGGATGCCTCTTCACTGAGCCGCGCTCAGCACTCATGGAATGCTGGAATAACCTCAGTTATTCTAGGGACCATCAGGATCACCCCAAAAATCTCACCGTGTGCCTGGCAGCATTGTCCACCACTCCTGTGGCTTCCCCTCCAAAGCCTTCCCCATCCTCTGGCTCTCCTTTGGATGCTTTCCAATAGCTTAATGTATTTTTAACATTGTGGTGCCCAAAACTGCACAGTACTCAAGGTGAGTACTGACCCAGGTGAGTGGCTTTTCTATCCTAAAATACTTTTCATTAGATTATGAAGAATTACCCATCCTGACAAATCACATACATGTAAACAGGAAGGGTGCAAAGAGATTTTACAACCAAAAGTGCAAATAATAACAGTAAGAACCATGCTTGGAGGAAGGGGAAAGCATTCCTACTCAGCTGGGAAGCCATGGAGAATGACCAGTGACAGGTTTCCCATAGTTGCAGGATCATCTCCAAGCATCACAGAATTCCCAGCCAGCAGCAGCAGCCAGCTGGGCACTCAGGTATGTTCAGGGTGTACAACCCAGGCTACAGCTAAGAGAGGACTTGAACTGAATCAGTACAAGCACCCTGGCAGCTGTTGTAGTTTATGCCAACACCTATGACTCCGAGGCACCACATCAACTTGATTTTTAAAACAATGTTGTAGCTCTTCATGAAAAGAAGCTATTTGCTCCAGCCTGCTTTTACCAGAGAGAACTAAAAGAACTACAGAAAAAAAATCTTCTACCCATGGCTGGATCTTCTAAGCAGTACTGTAAAACATAGTTCATGTTTGAGCTGGAAGTGTATAAACAAACATTTGATCAGAGGAACAGACGTGGTGCTGTGGTATTTGGGCTCTGTTCTCTGGTTCAGTACGTGCACACTGTGCCAACTAAAACAGCAGAGTTATAAATTACCTTTGTAGGGACTTGTTTTTCCTCTCTGTTGCCAGTGCATCCCATGTCAGGTCACTCTGCACATTCTGTGTTGAAATGCAGCAGCCTTTGCACCTCCCATCTGACCACAACTAGTGCTGAAACTGTTCTGGGGCTATCGATGACACAAACTGTACTTGACCAGATGACCATTCATGCTCAGCCATGAGCCCATGGAAGGAAAGGAGAGAGTATTATATATTTGTACAGTGAGATTTTGCACCCAGGGCTGCAGTGCTTAGATACAGCTGCACAGGAAGGCACGAGGACACCCTCCTTTTGACACCAAAACTAACCAACACTGAAATGACAACTCGGGGAACACACAGGACAAACTGTACCTTGTCAGACGTGATCTGCTGTGTGACCACAGAGCAATAAGCCAGCATGGATACTCAATCTGTCTTCCAGCAGCAGGAGGAGGTCTCAGGACCCTCAATGAGGTCTCTGGACCCCATTGACCATGAGATACTAACTTGTGTGTGCAGGCCATAACTTGGGAATCACTGCTCAAGGCGGATATTCCCCTTCACATTTATAATTTCCATTTTGTATGTCTGTTGGCATTATTCACTTATGCAGCAGAACAACAGACTTGAAGCAGTGCTCTTGCCATTGCAGACGTAATTTAAAAATCTGACACCTAGTAATAATTTATTTTTGAAGATTCAAAGTTAGATGAGGCGAGTCTCATGTCACACTTAAAGACTATGGCAGCATAACACTGATCTTAATCAGTTCTTATACTCCTGGCATTTGCATTGCTGACAAAGGCCCCAGAAATGTCAGAAGAGACAAATTCCATTTCCTATATATTAGCCAGAGTTAACAGTCCAAGTCAACTTCTTGAGTCTCCCTACTGTTTGTGAGCTCTAATTGTATCAATGAATCCCAGTTAAAAGCTTAAAGGCTTACTCAGTTACTGACACATCATCCAGAATAGTTTGTTTTGGGAGCAACCTAAGGTGTAACTGTCCTAAGAACATGAAAGCAGTGAAACATCAAAGATCCTTACAAATGAACTCAAAGAGAAACACATTTTTATAAGAAGTTTATTTTCCTGTCGTGTAGCCATTATACAAAGTAGGCAGCCAGAGCTGCCATTTTGTCCTTGGGTTTCTTTGGGTTGAGCCTTCCTCCAGGTCTCCGGCCTTTGCCCCTTCCCCGCCCTTGCCTCTTCCCTTGTCCCCCGCGGTGCATGGGGTGCCTCATGGCCGCGTGTTTCAGCTCCACCAGATCCTGAAACACGGGGTCACAGAACACACAGCCCGAGTGCTGCGTCTCGTCGCCGGGTAAGGGAGATTTGGCTTTGTTAAAATCCACGTCCACGAGCGCCGCCTCGCACACGTCGCACGTCTCGGGCGACACCCGCACCTTGTGCGCGTTCTCGAAGAAGTGCACGACCACGTTGCATTTGTTGCAGGCCATCTTCCACTTGGGACCCGACGTCGAGTCCAGCACCAGGACCCCGTTCTCACACTCCACGCACTGCCCAATTCCCAGCATGCTGAGGGAATGCTGGCACGTGGGGTGGGTGCACTCATTGCAGCCCATTCCTGGGGAAGAAGAGTGAAACCACGCCACCCTTTATCTCACTACTCTCCAGTCTGAAGGACGTGAGACACAGAAGCCAGAGACACTTGAGTATATTGTAGATTTTCTAAATCACTGAAGAATGGAACTGCTCCCAAAATGGCAACTTGCCTCTTCACAGTTTCACAATAATCCCCTGCTGAAAAATTTTCCTATAATGGTTTTCAAATTGCCGTGTACTGCCACTGTACAGTACAGGCAGTTTAGACAGATTAGTGATGAAAACTCATTACGTTTTCAATTAAATGTATGGCTCCTGCCTAACTGTTATTTTATACTTGAACTACTCACTGTTGGTCCAAGATATTTTTAATTAAAAGATGGTAATAAAAAGATGCTGAAAAGCTTCAGTGAGCTACTTTAAGTTTCAGCCCCACAGTTACTAAACTAACTGCAACTTCTATCTCTTCTAATATCCTTCAACAGCTTTTAACACAAAATTTATCTCTATCAGAACATTCCCAAGACCTGGTCTTTGTTTATACTCCTATCCAAGCCTACTCAAATTTGCAATGCATCAGTATCTTAGTGTCTTTCACAGCATGCTGAGTGTTGTGAAGGTCACCTGCAGTGCATGTAAGTAAATTATTTTCTTACTTCTTCTATGAAAAAAAAAAACTTAAAATTTGTTAACTAGTACAGTCAGTAAGTTAAATGTGAATTTTAGGTATCTACAGCCTAATTTGAACAGCACTTTATACTATGCAACACTGATTTAAAAACTCCTAAAAAGCCCATTGTCTAGGCTATACCTAATTTATGTCAAGTGAGCATGATGCCTGCATGTTTGCAAAACTCCTACCTTTTTTCATGTCCCTGAAGGGAGGATGGTTGTAACAGTATGGACACAGTGGATAGCTCTTTCCTCTGGATCCAGATGACCACAGCACCAGCTCAAAGTCATCCAGGGGACAACGCAACTCCTTGTAGAGTTTAATGGTACCATTCTGGGGGAGACTGTAGGTGTCATCACAGTGAGAGCAGTGCAGGCGACTCGGCTTGGCCTGGAAACAGAACACAAATCTCCTGAGCCACTGCAGGGTCAACAGAGCTTAAAACCTGTGGTAAACCCAGCTGGAGTTGATCTCTGGTTTGCTCCCCAAGGCAAAACCCTATCAGCCTCTTTGTTTTAGAAAGGCACTCGTGATGACCATATTTGAACCAAAGTTCAATAACAGAAAAGAAGTTTATAGTCAGTGCCCCACAGCAAGTGAAATTCCAATTCCAAGTCTGAGGTAAACTGACCTGAATATACTTCATGAAACGATGGCATTTGCCACAGCGGGAAAGGGGCTTGCCTGTGGCAGCCAAGGGTGAAAAAGACACTTCCATCAGTTCATCCATACCTGCAAAAGGAACGATCACACTTACATTAGAATTCTAGTTCTTAGGAGGAAACTTTGCACAAAATCATCTCTAGACCTTTGAAGAAGTGAGAATTAAAGTATTTTACTCACAATGCTCTTCCTTATCTACAAAGACAAATACAAAGCATTTTGCACTGAGCATGCTCAAGCATACTGGTTCAGCTAATCTCAAATTTTCAAAAACTCACCACTGCACAGGCACAAAAGAAACTTGAAGTACAGTTTTGGAGACATGATTCAGTCCATCTCCCTTTGGAGAGCAAATTAATTTGGCTGGAAACTTCCAGTCCTGGCACAACTTTTCAGAAAGCCTAAACCTCTGAAAGGAGCCTAATATATAAGCATTTTCTATGCAACAACTAAGTAATTGGAGGGAACTTCACATATAGAAAGTTTTACCTGCAATAGAATCCACAAAATAGTGAAACTTCCTTTTGAAAATGTCAAGGGTGTGCTCCAGGACCTGATGATAATTTGCTTTACCCAGAGCTATTAAGTTGAGTTGCTTCTCTACAGCACTGCGGATTGTAGGAAGAACCAGTTCTGCATCTAACAGGAAACCAGAGACAGCAGCAATGAAAGGTCAAAAATTGAGGTAGGAAACCATTCACACATAAACTGACATCAAAATAAGCATTATTTGGGACAGAAATGTTACTTAGACATTGACATCAGCCTTTGATATAGTAAAGGGAAAGAAAGGGAAGAAGATGGAAA